AAGGGTCAGCGGATGCTTTCTGTGCTGGCACTTAGTAAGGAAGCGTCCTTCTCGTTGTGGTGGTGGAAGCAGCAGGAGTTCAGCATGTCTGGCACGCAGGAGGGCAGCCTGCTCGGCTGGGTCAGCTCTGCTGTGCTTTCACAAGGTGCACGGAGCTGGAAATTGTTTGCACTAATGCGTGTCAACACCAGTGAGCTGGCAGTCGTTTTAATTACGCTGCATCGAGGTGCTTATTATGAGTAAATAGCAAATGTCTCCAGTACCTATAAATAGCTTTTGCACTACTATGAGTGAAGAAGGCCTTTAATTTCCAAAGCATGCAATAATCGTGTTTTATTAATGCAAAGCATGCTTTCTGGAGCCAACTCGTTTTGCTTGATTTGTCTGGTGAGTACTTCCTTCAGCCACCATGGCCGTGTTTACATGGCAATTACTGCGCCTCCTCCCTGTGCAGGGCAGTGCTCTAGCCTTCGGTTGCTGTTACATTCCCCCTGCATTTCTGAGCTCACTGCGAGGGTGTCTGCAGCCTCTCTGTCTGAGCACGTTGACGCAGTGCCAAACTCCTTGCAGCTCTTGGCTTAGTGATGCTGCTTTGTCAAACAGGGGGCTGCTTTTGAGAAAATGACCCGTCTCACGGTGCCTTTGTTTTATTATCAGAGACAAGTTCATTCCATTTCTTGTTTTTTGCCTAGTTCGCTTCCCAGTCATCCCTGCTTGAGCTCAGTCATCATTCTGGGAGCTTCCAGTGCTCTGGGACTTCCCTTTCCCACCAGCAGCTGACCACCCGTGGTGTTTTACCCCAGACCTGGAGGCTCACTGCAGCCTCATGGGCATGGTCAGTGCCTGCCACTCCCCGGGAGGTTTTTGCTCTTCTCTGAGACACCGGGGATATTCTGCTCATACTGCGGGATACGCACATGAATGACTTCTCCCTTCAAGTCACCGGTTCTCTCTGACCCAGTAGGTAACAGTGTCCTGGTCCAACCTTCCACGTGAAAACAAATTACAGAAAGGACCACGAATTTTCAGACCAACCTTGTCATGAGCCAACTGCATGAGGATGAAATTGAACCAGCATCTCTGTTCTTATCCTCTTATTTCCCATGTAGCTGTTGATTCAAAATAAAGAAGGAATTGGAGGATGACAATCCATCTCCTTGTTAACAGGGAGTAAAGGCAACCTTTTGTTAACAGTCTCAGGATTCTTCCACAGAAATTGTCCTTAAATGAGATGTTTGAGCTTGGAAAAGGTTGCTGGTGTATAACAGGAAAAGCACGTGGTTGTAACAGCCAGGGATGCGTGTCCAGTTAGCATCTGGCAGCACCGTGAGGGTGGGGAGTCATGCTGCTGCCATGCTTGGGTGAGCAAAGGCAGTACCAAATGTAGAGTTGGACAGGTCTGAGTGCTGCTGCTTTGTCTGGGTGTACTTAGCTGCTGTGTGACGTGTGTGGAGCGCAGGACTGTGTTTACTCGAGCTTTTTATAGAAATGACTCCAACTTACCGAGCCTCATTCAAATTATTTATGTAAAGTGTATTAACTTATCTTGGAATGGGCGATAAATGTGCTCTGCATTTGTATTCCTTCTTGCTTGGCTATTGCAGCTCAGTGGGCACGCAGCCGTAGTGTCGCAGGAGGGGGGTGGCTGCTGAGCTCTCCATGGTGCACAAATTTGATGCCAAGGTTGCAGCACGGAGCTGCTTTCCCTTTCCAGGCCAATTTCCCACCCAGGCTTTCACAGGAAGCACGCGGAGCAAACATGTAACTGATAGGCAAATTAATTTTGCCTCTTACCTTTAACCAGAGGAGTGCTTGAGAAGGTTAGTGTAAAACTTGTCACTGGGTGTCACTGTTACACTGCGGGAGTCTGGGGGAAAGTGGGCTTCTCCGGCCTGGAATTACAGAGGTCTGTAAGGCACCAGGGGCAGAGATGTCCAGTGCTGGGCTGACTTTGGAAGCTGTTAGATGTAAAGAATACAGTGAGGGGTATTTGCTGGTCTGCCAGCAGTGTGTATAAACTCCACGGTGTTTCCTGATGAGCCCATGGTTAGCTCTGGGATTGAAGAGAAGTTTTCTTTCTCAGTTTCACAGAGCAGGGGGTGGTGGAGAGCTGCTCCCTCTCCTTTGTGCGTGGTGGTATTCAGAAGAATATAAGCAGCATTTGACTTGTTCTCTAACAATGCTTTTCAGTCTCACTTTGAACATTACATCCAATCTGTGAGGCCAGATGTGTCTTAAACTGTCCCTGACTAACAGGTTATTAAAACGGACGCTGATTGCCAATGTTCTTGGTGGTCTCTTCCAGTACTTTATGTACAAAACCCATGTTTTTGACAAAACCATGTGGGCTTGTCGTGCGTTTGTTAGCAGCACCCACCTGAGGTATCAGAGCCAAGCTAGAGAAACATTTGGTCCCTTCCAAATTTTTATGACTTGTCTCCAGCTTGTGATCGCTTCAGTGCCCTTTCCTGAAGTGCTTCCTGTTCAGATACATTTTTCTTGATGTGACAAAAATTAACAGCAGCTCCTTTTAGTGTCAATTAATTTAGGTCTGTGGCAGGCTGACTGGTCAGATACTCAGTTCCTGCTGCATCGATGAGTTTCCCAGATTTACTTCTGCTGAGAGAGCCATTCATTGCTCCCAGTCCCCTAGGCTCTGGCAGCTAAGGCCTCAGTTTTGAAGTCGATAGCACAGAAAGGCTGAAGCTCTGTGAAGGGGGACCACCAGCCTGTGTCTGCAGATCGCCTGTAACCTGCTCAGAAAAGAACAGCTCACCCAGGTCATCCAAGCAAGCAAGGTTAAATGTGAGTTTCAAACTGGCTGCTGAGCGGTAATTTCACCAAGTGTTTATTGCCTGAGGGCAAGATCCAGATTTACAACTCCTTTTGTTGAGGGGATTTGGGCAGATAAAAAGTGGCAAGCCAGATTTCTGTCGTGAAAGGGGAGGAAAGCTGTAAAACTTTAACTTCCGAAGGATGGTGATAAACACCCCCGGAATAGTTAGGGCATCATAAATAGCAAAAGGCTCGCAGGCTGCTTTCTGCCTTGCTGCTCCTAGCTGCTGAGCTGGCGTGGGGTGCCTGCTGTCCAAGCTTGGTGCCACAGCCCAGCCCGTGTAAATCTCAGAAATCAGCTCAGAAATCTCTGGCTGTAATTGGAAGGAGATTGAAAACGGTCTGCTCTGCTTTTCTCCTGTCCTGTAATGAGAAACGTTCAATTCCAGTCTGGATCCAAGTTTCAGTGTACTGCCCATGTAATACACACCAACAGGAACTAAAGAAATGCTTCCAGCACCCCTAACAGAAATTTCTCAATTATTTCATAATTGGGAAATGAGCCCATCACGTCTCACAATGACAAATTCTTTAAGCTGGCAGTACAACAATAATTGATTTTGAGTCCTTATTATATTGCAGCCTGGGATTTTAGAATTTCCTGCCTTATTTTAAAATGTAGAAGCAGGATTTTTTATTTTATTCATTTATTTTTTCAAAGAAAGGACAGGAATGGTATTTGGAGATGACTGGAAACCACTAGAAAAAAAAAAGGTAAACATTTAAACATTCAACAGTTTCCTGTTCCTGCTTGTTGTGCTAAGAGGTGAATCCTCCTTAGCTGAATTGCTGATGTCACAGAACATTTCGATAAATTCTACCTTAAGGTCAGTGGAACAAGATACTTGCAGGCCACCTTCTGGAATTGCGCGTTTTGGAAAGGATGGATGAGGCCAATGCTGTGATGGTAAACTAATTGCCCGTAACACTTGTTGAAGACCTTCTAGTTAATTAAATGCCATGTTTATTGTGTTGCTATAAATGGACACAAGCTCTTATTTCTTCTTTATTAATCATCTCACATTTATCAGTGCTGCTTGACTCCGTGCTCTTGTGATTTCCTAGTTTATTAAGGAAAATTCTGCTGTACGTATATCCGCTTTTTAAATTATTTTCTGGGAAAAGAGGATTAGTACAGGCATTCTTGTCAGTTGCATTGACAGCTGATGCTTTCTTCACAAGCATATTAACTTGACCTCATTAGTTTTTGCATCCAGCTCCCTTAAATGCAGAAGATTGTATTTCAGTAGGAGCCAATCATGTTAATTACATCTGATCAGTTTGCATATTCATAAGCCGTTGCCTGTTTTATGGACAGCAAAAACAAACACCATATCTTTTTAATAATTTTAAGTGGGTCACTTTCAGGACTGTATCTGTTTTAAATAAATTATCATATTGTTAAGGGCCATTGGCAAAAGCTTTTTATTAGTAATGTGCTGGGGGTGGGGTTTGCTTTAAGGACAGCAATACTTGCATATCAAATCACCAGCCAACCGCTTCAAAATCTGATTGCGTTGTCTTACCTGGTTGGTGGGAATCCTGTGTGCTGTGTGTAGGTAAGATGCCATTTTTACAAGGAAATGTAATTTTAAACAGGTGTGATGGAAGTACGTAAGTTTGGGTTTTGTTTTGACAGCATGGGCACTCCAGGGTGCTGCAGTGTGGTGAAGGGGAAGGGAGATGTCCCGAGGAACCAAGCCGTACCCCTACATGAAAATAAACACGTCTCCGCTCCCAAATTTCAGACCTGCTGTCCAGGTCTCCTCCCTGTCCCGTGTGTGCAGGTTGCTCGTGGCCTGTGGAAGGGAATCCAAAGGGAAGGCAGCTTCTAAGAACCACCAAAATAGATGTGTTTCCCTCAAAGAGCTGTGGGAAAAAGTCCCAGTGAATATGTTGGCAGGGGATTGTTATGTCAGTGATCACATTAGGCATCCAGCTATATAAATAACAGTAAGAAATGAATAAAATAAAATAAAAATATGTTTATGCTCAGCGTAACTGAAAACAAATGTGTCATCAGATGAACATCAATAAAAGAAATGAACTCTACAAAGAGAATGGAGCCTGTTTTTCTGCAGCTTGTGCTTATGGCATAAAATACACTGGCGTGTAGAATTGGTATGACTGTGTGCGAAAGACAGAATCTGGCTTCTCTGCTTCCAGGCAAACCTGAAGCATGGGGAAACATCTCATGTTTGATATTTCTTCTATCTCACTGGAGGTGCTGTTTCCAGAATACACAGACAATTTCACAAAAGGTAAGGTAAATTATCTCTACAATTTTAATTTTCATTCAAGTTTTTAGCTATAGTCCTTCTTTTATATATTTTTTTTTTTAAAAAAATATTTTATTTTTTCCATTTAAGGGGGAAGATTTCAGGCTGATTTTTGTAATTGTTCCTCAGGCATTTGAAGGATGTAGTCAAGAGAGGGCTTGGGGCTGTTTGTCTTTCTCTGACTTGTTGTGGGGAAGTGCTTCTCCCCGTGTGGGCAGACAGACATGCACAGAGATGAAATATATATATATGTATACTTTATATACATACTTCTAAAATGAACACTTAGTTTGCACACACACACAAGGTTATTTTTATGACAAAAGTTGTTCTTGCCAAAACAGCTTTTCTTTTCCACCCTCCTTTTTCGCCTACACAAAGAATTTGCTCTCTGGGATACTCAGCCCTATCCACAATTCTCCGTGAAGCAAACGAGGAATGGAAAAATTTCAAATCCCATTCACATTTTAGAAAAAGTTGGTCTCAGTAAGTGGGTTGGAATTGATGTTTTCTGGACTCTCATTTTGTCATCAGGGCTGGTGTTGTCCAGGCCTTGTTTATTGAAATACAGTAGGTTTTTAATAGAGCTGCTCAAAGGTTGGCCGTTTCTGTGTGTTCTGCCTTTTTGGGGGCTGCAGGTCCTTCCCGTGCTGTTGCATATTGGCATCTGCACCCTGTGTGAGATTTGCTAAGATACCAAACGAAACCTCCAGTGTCAGATAGGGTCTGCAATTCTTCACAGGTTTCCAAAAAACCTTTTACAACGCCTAGTTTAAACTCTTGTGTCTGCTCTGTGAATTGAAAATACAACTTGGAGTATGAAGTAAATCTTCACATTCCTATCTAGACTGAAGGGAGGTTTCGATACTGAAACCTCCTTGGTTTTGTAATAAACCACTGGCGCAATGTGCTTCAGAATTGCAGCTAATAGGCTCAGTAAATTGTAATATACCTGAGTGTTTACAAGTTCCTTTACCTTTGGGAAATATATAGTGATCATTTTTTGTGTGTGCGTAGTCTGTTTCAAGTGAGACTAGATACAGGGCAGGATGATTGACAAATTAATGCTTTCAGCTTCTGCTCAAAGTACGTGAATTACAGGTACCAAAGGCATGGTATAAACTATAATAATTGTAACTCAATTCCATTGCTAAAAAGCTACTAGTAAGGAAAACAAATCAAAATAGTAACGTAGCCAAACTCATGGAAGGATATATGGCCAGGCAGAGAGGACAGAAAAATACAGATAAAGTAAGAAAGTAATTGGTTTAATTAAAAGTTGAAGGAGACTGAGAACATGAATCCTTTTTTTTGGATTTAATTCTGGAGAGGAGTCACATAAACCATATTTACATGCATTTCCTCTTAGCGACATGCAATACCCAATAGTTTGGGCTGAATGCATTCACTGAAATGAAGATTGTTCACCGAGAGACGACTTCGTGATGTCCCATGGCCACGGTGTGATCAGAGGGGCTGTGGGACAGGTGACGTAAAGTGCTGAATTTGAGAGAATTGCTTTACAAAGTTAAGTGAAAGTGGCTTACATTTGGAAGAACTGCTTCTCAATCTTTGATTTGCCATAATATCAATCAGACATTGTTGGGTGTGTTGTTGTAGCACGTTTGTTTTTTCTTTTATTCCTCCCATAAAATACGCCCCAAGTCCATAAGGCACTTTAGAACCTGTATGATTCTTAGTTCATCATCTTTTAAAATAGTTCCTGGTGTTACTGTGTCTGTAGACTTGTAGGTTGTGTTACAAGTGTCTGTAGAGGAGCTCAGGACACCCAGAGCAGGATACTTGCCAGCTGAAAGTTTTATCGAATACATAGCAACTTCTTCTGAAGCCATGCCTAAAGCTTAGCTGTTGGCAGCATGCATGCAGCAGCAAGCACAAATTGTGGAGCAGCTTTAAACTTCCCATGGAGAAGTGCAAGTCCTGAGTACTGCTTTCTATTGTTAACTTCAAGAGCAGGCAGTTAATTACCATGTTTATTTCAGATTTTCTATAACATTAGACCATCTGTTGTAAGTTTGTTGCCTTTTGACTATATTAAGTAATGTTTCTCATGCAAGCATGACTAAATGGAAGTACCACGGACGGTCTGGGAGGTGTATACCTGAATTCCTGAGAGCCTCAGGTAGTTTGATCTGTCACTAAAGCCAACAGCAGACGTACTGCCCTGATAATTTCCCAGTGCTGTTCCTCTTTCTTTGTGGACGTGTGTAAGAAAACCGTGAAAAGAGAACTGACTACTTGGCGTTAGGTTTTCATTGATCAGTTAAGAAGGAAGCTTTATAACTGGATAATTTCAGAGACTCTGAAAGATCTGTATTTTGAAATCTTACAAGCTGATAACGCAAATAGAGCCCTGCCTCCCTGTGCCAAGCAGAGATCACTCGTGTAGGACAGCAGAGTCGGGTTCAGCAGGTAAGCTGCAGGACAGCAGACAGCAGCAAAATGCTTCCACACTGAAGGCGTTTGTGCTCAGTATCACTTCTGTGTTTTACTTAGTGAGAACTCAAGTGGTATGACAAAAGAGAAGGTATTTCTCTTGGTTTTCTGTAGAAATGATTAAAGATTTTGTAAGGATAGAAGTGACAAGATAAACTCATCTGGGGTGATGCTGATGTAAATCACGGGACAGTTTGATGTTTTCTTTTGACTCCTGGCTCCACCTTCTTAATTAACTTTTCTTAATATTTTAGCGTTGGAATTTCATATTGATTGCACAGAATCTCAAAAAATAAGACAGTATTGTTCCTATGAATTTATTGTGTTTCACATAAAGACATAAACATTTTCTTTTATGTAAATCACTATTCAATTACGGTAGAGAAGTATGTAGAAACAGCTGAATGTAGCTGTCATGCAGAATTAGGTAATTTTACTCTGAACATTACTTACTGTATAATAGAAAAATTATTCAGTGATGATTTGTTAGTATAGAAGCAGTTGTTGTTATTCATACAGAAAGGAATATTACTAGCAGAGAAAAAACATTTATGGTTATTAAATATTAGTGATAGTTTCCATGTACTTCTCTCTGAAATGTGGCTGCAGTCCATTATTGACACTGACAATCTGCTTTCTTTTGTGGAGCATTCAGAGCTGTGACCACTGCCCCAAAAGGCTTTCAGTTAAATGGATTTTGTTACAGAAATTTGAAAGCCAAGCCAGGACCAGGAATTGCTGAAGCAGAGCAGGGCCCTGACTCTTTGTCAAACTTCTGGAAAGCGGTGAGGAGAGTATGGCTGCGTTTGCTTCTCCTCAAATATGCCGTGTTCTGGAGAGTGTGTGGCTGGGGGTGTTTGTTTTTCAATCCGAGCACTCGTCTGGAGCTGGGCCGTGTGTGTTGGCCCTGGATTTGCAGCACATCCGAGCGGGTGGGTGGGTGGACGGCCGCAGCACGGGGTGTGTGAATATAATGAGAGAAAGGCTCGGACTTGACAGCTTCAGCACAGAGGTTTTTAAACTGCATTGGGAATGTTTGCATAACTGCTCCAAAGAGGCTTGTTCCCTGTACCTGTTTACACTCTTTACTTCTGAAATTCTTTAAGCAATCAGCCTGTGGAGAGCCCTTACGCAGCACTTAGTGCCCTTGATTGTGAAGCAGAAAAGCCGGGTGAGTGAATCGCTGGGAAAACATCCCGCAGCCACCGGGCCCTAATGAGGGTCACTGCTGCCTCCGCAGCGGCTGCGAGGAAGGGGAAGGGGGGAGATGCTGCTGCATTGTCACACGGGTTGGGATGCACAATAGTGGAGGAAAGAGCCAGACACCGGGCCTTTGTGTGCAAATTTCCCACCAGAGCTAAGCAACTTTTTTTTTCTTTTTTTTTTTTTTTTTTTTTTTTTTACAATTTAATTAAGTGGGTTTGGAGGCCGGAGCTGGCCTAACAAGCACTTCTTCATGAATGAAAGATTTGTCTCTGGCAGTGAGGCAAGGCTCCGAACAATGTCAACAGCAATTACTGCCAGCTCTGGCCGCTCTAACAGCTCGCACGAACAAGGGGGTGCTGGGAAGGCAGCGTAGCGTGGAAGGCTGGCAGGAATGTTTTGGGGATTGTCTTTACCTAGCTTACAGCACACTTGTCATTCATGCACCCAAGACTCCAGCCGAGGTCTGGCCTCCCCTGGGAAGCGTTTGTCTGAGGATGCGGCCAGGGAGCTGCCTGGCAGAGGTGACACCGCTGGTGGTAGCTGTGTCACGAGGAGAGGGGCTGTGGCACTGCTCCATCATCCCAGAGGTGCAGGAGATCTAACACAAACTGAAGGGGATACATCTCTGAAGATTACACCCATGCAGTTAATGAATCTACTGATATTTCTAAATCTGTCATCCCATTTGAATGGAATTTAATGGAAACCTACTGAATCTTTTTCTCTATATTTAGCCTCCCTTGGCTTTCGTTAGGGACCTGGTGCTTGTCTCAGGCACTCTCTTTGGGAAACCAAACCCTTAAGTGTTGAGGTGAATTCTTCATTTGATAAATATCAAGCATCAAAGCCACAATTCTTTGTATTGTTGGGAAAAATACACGCAGCAGCAATAACCCTACAGCTGCTGTGCAGTCTGCTGCCTGTGTCCTGAGAAAAAGTTCCTAACCATTTCCCACTCTGAAGGAAAGTGATGTGTTCTGTGGCATAATCAGCAAGAAATTGTGATGTGAATTGAAAGTTGGTCAGTGCTGAACAGCCAATGTGTGCTCCGCTGATATCTGAAGACAAAGGTACGGTAGACGTTGGTCAATGCTTGCCTTTTGGCAGCACGTCCAGTGCTGTGCACAACAATCAAGAAGCATTTGCTTACTTAGTCTGGACTTCCTAACATAAGCAGATCTGCTCCTCTTATGGTCTTGAGCAGAGGAGGATCTAATGGTGGCGTCACCCTCCTAGTGCCCTCAGTCGTGGTGCACGTCAAGGCATTGATGAAAGTCCTTCAGCAGGGTTTGCACTTGTAAGGCACCTTTCAGGCTCCTACCCGTGTCAGTTGTAGCAGGGAGTGTAGGTGGTGTGTGCCCGCCAGAGCTGCAGCTCACCATGGGTTGAACCAAGTGGACACACAGTGAAGACATTGCTCTGTAATAACAAGAGGTTGTACTTCTAACAGATCGGGGAGCAGGCCATTAAAGGAAAGGAGCAGAGTTCGTCAGAGCAACAATTCTGAATTAGGAACTAATGAATAATCACGGAATCATTAAGGTTGGAGAAGACCTCCTTACGATAATGGAGATCAAATGTATAAATTCATCACATTGTCACGAGAGTTGGTTAAAATATTTCTTTTATAGCCTTTGAGTTTTCATCACCGAGTATTTCTTTTTCTGTTTCCTTGGAGGGAAAGGAGGGACCCATCATCTGTTATGTTGTGTAACTGGGAGATGCAGCAGATAAAATCGTGACAAATTGAGAGATTTTTTTGAAGCTCTGGGAAGTTTCAGGGTGTTTGATATCTGCAGGTTTTGCAATTTGTGCTCTTGCAGAGATTTACAAACCTGAGAAGTTCGTGGTGCTCACAAACAGCCTTCGGTGCTTGGCAGCTGGCTCCAGAAGACGTCCTGAAGGAATGTGGAGCTAAAGGATGCTGTGGTCTCACTTGGGGCTCAGCAAGGGCTCTTCACAACACTTTTTCTGCAAATTTAGTCTGTGGTTTTGTGCTGTGGAATGATACAAGAATGATAAATAATGTGCATAATTTATAAAACAACGCGCAGAGAGCTTGGGTGTCCCAGCGTGTCGAGGTTTGCACTTTAAAGCTGAGGGATGACAGAGGTGGAGGCGTTCCAGCTTTGGAGCTGCTGTGGTGGTGGGATACTGCAGAAAACACAGGAGCTCTGATTCCTAGCTGGGAGTGTCACCTGGGGTGATATCGTGCTGATGTGACGGCTGCACTCACTCTTTTTTGTAGATGAATAAACTTAAATGTGCCTAGTACAAATACATATGTCTTGGATTTCCCGCAAAGTCATATTTTAATTCAATTTTTTATTCCCAAACCTAAAGTTTTTATGCTGTTGTTGTCGGATTATTCATTTTAACCACAGTGAGTTTGTTTTCCTAACAGTGCCACCAGCTTTGCTACTTCCCTGCAGTCCTGTTGCACTCTTTGAAGCACGCAGGTAAATGCCCAGAGACTGCCTGCCTGGCTAGACAAAAGCTCTGTGATCCAGCACTGCACCGTGTCACGCCATTCTGGGAGAAATCAAACGCCGCCTGAAATTGCTGCTTTTTGCTCAGGTTTATGAATGCAGCCTCTGACTCGGGAAGATTCCTGTCAGTTTGAAGCCCTGACAGTGCCATTAAAAAATTGACAAGACACGCGATGAACTGCCGGAGAAACAGCTTGAAGTAGACAATGAGAAGTTTCTTTGGGGCATTTTCACAAGCAGATCAGGGTGAGAAATACAGCTCTGGACATTTATGTAACGCTTTATCTGTATGATGCTTTGAAATGTATCCAATTAATCATTATAACACCCTCACGGTGTCAGTCAGGTTTTTTCCCCCAAAGTGACCGTTTTCTTGGTTTCTTTCAGTTAGATTTTTGGAAGATTTTCTTGTTAACACTTCTCTTGGCTAGATGATCATCTAACGAGACAAAACTTCAAGGCTCCATTAAAATTAAAGGAAAAAAAGTGTCACTTAATACCAGTATGTTCCTACTGAACAGAACCACGCCTATTTACTGATTTTTGAAGTATTTAAAAATCCTTTTAGACTTGCAGAATTTTTTATCCTCCCAACTCTGAACGAATTCTGAATGAATTTCTTTGGCAAGGCTGAGCTGTGAGCTGTGGGCAGCTAGCAGAAAGAAGAGCAGCTCTCTGCATCTCTGCCTGCTCTGTTTCTTTTTCTTTATTTAAAACACTTTGCAGGTTATGTCTTAATGAACATAATTCATTATTCTAAGGCTCGCATTTTCTGTTAATTATTGTGCCCAGCCTGCATCCACATGGTCTAATTTGGGGCAGAATTTTCTGGTGACAGCTGTTTCTTTCCCTAGTTGATGAGCACATTGGATGTGGGCTCACCAAGAGCAAAGTCTCATCCTGGAGCAGTGGCTCTGGCTTGAACAAAACTGTGCAACTTCACACGTTCAGCAAAAAGACTTTTTTTCTCTTGAGATCATGTTTTATTTTGAAGAAGGATTTGCTGAAAAGCTCAGAAACCATCAGTCTGTTTGCATGTTACTGGTTTCCCTGTCTGCCAATGGCTATAATTACAGCTGAGCAAATACTTCAGAGCAAATAATTTGACAAATTTCTTCTTCCTCTCATGCAAAATCCATGAGCAGTTCACAAACTCTTCTCATTTGTTTGTTGTTCATATTTATTTGTTCTTGCCCAGCTTTTATTGGGTGTATAAGTCACATGGTATGATTTGCTCCAGTTTTTCTCCTCTTTTCACTTCAATTTTTTGAGCCTAGTTGTACACTCATCCTTAAGTCTGAGCACCTGGAGGTCTGTTTGTTGAACAGCTCTTGCCAGTTGCAGCGGTTTTAGGATATAATTTTGGGATGCCCCTCTTTGTGTGCGTGCATTTCTCCTTGTAGGTCTTGGTGGCTGTGTCTGATCTCCTCGTGGGGCAGTGCACTCACCGACCTTGGTGCTGTTTCCATCCAGGTACTCTGTCGAGGCACTCTAGTTAATGAGGTTTAGCTCTGGTTCTGAGGAGCTCTACCTGTTTGTTTGTTTTTCCTGCTGTAGGATAATCTTAATTTATTTTTTTTTCAGGCAACAGGGGGATTAGATACTTAAAACTTCTGCAAAGGAAGGCACGTAGCTGAGTCATGATTTGTTTTACCTCATTCCTGACAACAGATTGCACAGTTTTGACCTCAAAGCCTGCATTTCTGCATTACTGAACTTCAGGGTGTTAAGGATTTCAAGTTTACCTGTTCAGTCCATGTTTTTGTTGTCTATTTAAAAACAAATAAGTACATGAATTGATCTCTTTTGACACAGAAATAATAGTTCTTTGTAAGGCTGTTTCTTAACTTTTTTTTTTTTTTTTTTAACTTGTTTGGAGCTTCCACAATTACTTCAGGAAGCTTACCTGAAGAGTAAGGCTGGAGGAGGTTGTCTTACAACACAAGCTTACCTCCCACCCCTACAGTTTTGTCCCTTCAGCACAGGCTTCAAATGCCCGTGCTGCTATTAACAGCCCTCGTACTGCATAAAACTTGTTCTTCCCTGCAAATACCCGTGCTATTTTTTCAGATACCCTCTCCTCATTAGATGGGCAGAGATGTTGTTATGGAATGTGTCTGTGCTCCTAGAGTAGAACAGGTATTCTCTTCAATCAACTACGAAGAGCTTTGTGTATGTTCCGTAATGCTGAGCTACGTTAACACTTTGTATTTTGGTTACAGCCTGCTGCAGGATTGGTACACGGCTCCTCAATGTCCTAGAGGTACTCCAAATTCTTTTTGACAGATGCTTAAGGAAGACAGATCTAGTCTAGCATGTAATTAATGCTGGTGATTCCACTCTGATCCTTTTACTCCTATAATGTGCATCCGTGGCTGAGGAGGAGATAATGGACAATCACGTAAGAAAATCCTTGATTATGGCTTGATTGAGCTTGTGTGAGCTCCAGACAGGCGGTGTTGTCATGGTTTCCAAGCCATTTAACTTAGACACTTTTGCACAGACAAGATGTTAGATAGCCACCCAAAAACTTGTAATCTGGATTATGCCTGAGCTCTCACTGAGTGCCACCTCAGGTTTATTTTCACAGAAAGGAGCTAACTGTAGTTTTCGTATTAGAAGCTATAAAAACCGTATCATCTTTCATAACATTTGCAAAATAGAGAACTTCTTGCCTGTACCTTTTCTTCACTTTTCACTGCCTGGAATCTCCATCCCTACAGCTCCATCCAGGCAGAGATCACAAGTGCCAGAGGAGTCTCTCTGGCATGCTGGGCAGTTTTATTACTGTGGCCTCTGTGGAGCAGGCTTTTTGGAGAGCTCTTTGCTGTGTTTTCCTAGACCTCGTGTAGCATCTTGCTCTCAGGACTGTCGTTTCCTGTCTTGGGAAAAACCCCGACGTCTCTTCCTCTGAATCTGAAGAAGTTTAAGCTGAGATTTTGGGGACATTTTCAGTGTCCAGCTTTTTGTGTTGGTAAACAGACGTCAGCACACTTCTGCTAATTTTTTTCCAATGGTGATTTTTTTAGGACCAGCAGAGGGAGCACAATAGTAAAAGTAATTGATCCTACAGATCTTTCTACTCGTCTGTAGCCTAAGAAGCTGAGAGTGTCCTTCAGTTATGTCAGCACAACTCCCATTTTAGTGACCCACGCGGCGTGCAGCGAGGTGCGGAGGCAGAAGTACAGCAAGCAGAAAAGCAGTGACGCAGCTGAATTTTGGAACAAAAAAAAATAGCGCTTGCTTCCTGAGGTTGCCATTGAGAATACATAAATAAACAATATTTGGTGTATTAGACACTAGATAATCTAATGCAGCTGCTGAAATATTTCAGTAGCCCCTAGGATCCTTGTTAAGTCATGATGAACTCAATTCCTACTGACTTAAAAACACGCCTTACTCATTTAATCGTTTTGTGGGGCTCCCAGTAGGTTCAAGAGAAATCAGAGACAGCATGGGCATCCTTTGTTAGGAGGAGCTTTGTTAGGAGCTCTTCCCGTTACACACACGGCTTAGGAAAGCTCTGCCCGATGTTTTGTGCTGCATTTGAGTGACTCAATAAGCTGGGCCCTACCACAATGCATAGGAATAATAACAATAATGAGAAAATACTGAATGAAGCAGTGGCTTGGTCCTCTTCTCTTTCAGCTTTGCTCTTCTGGTGCAGTCTCTTACACTGAGGGCCTTCTTTGTGTGTCCTTGTGCAGTCCCTGGCAGTGGGGCTATATGGACACTGCTCATAGTTTTTGTGATGTAAATGGATGTAAATGTGCCAGCCAGCTCTGGGGATGCCTCTGGTTGTGGCTGGCAGCCACTCGCTCTCCATTCTGCAGTTTCACAATTTTCTTGCATCCCCTGGGAGATGCAGGAGCCTGTGCCCGCTGGGTCAGCCTGACCTGATGGGTCTCTGGGCACGCACATGTCATTTGGGGGGGTGTGTGCTTGCTGAAGTTTCCTAGGTAGTCCCTGTTGGGGAAATCAAATCAAGAGGTAGTCCCTGACCTGGAATTTTCTCTTCACACCAGAATCCAGAACTTACCTGAGCTAACTGGAGGTGCGTGGCCACAACTGCTGTGCAGGCACCGAATCGCAGCCGGTGGGTTGGCTCAGCACTTTGAAATTCAGCATCACTGGTGCTGGCCTCGGGAACATGCCCACTGCCATTCTGTAAGTGCACTGTAAAGCCTTCAGTTGTGATTAATGGTCAATGTGTTGATTGCTTTAATCCAGCGTGTCAGCTCTGTGCGGCTGCAGCACCTCCTTTCTACTGTCAAGCTTGTTGGGATCTGTGTGCCTGGGCTGGAGCCTGAGGCATTTGGCTTTTTAGCTGTGAAGACAGGATTTGCAAATTAAAAGAAGAATGCTAATCACTTAGTGTCCTTGTTTGTTCCTTTTTAAACTTTGTGGACTAGACAGTTAATCAATTATTTGAAATGATGATTCCTGCATTGCTCACATATTAACGGCAGCACCCTAAGAGGAGTCAGTGGGCAATCTTGTAATAAGATTGTGAAGTGGGTAATAATTTAATTTCTTGCACGGTCCTGCCAACTATAATACACTGGCAGTCTGTGTGCTGATGCTTATTTTAATTAAGATTCATAAGTAATATATTTGTATTTTTGTCTAACTGTAGGATGTGTCGTTTATTCAGGCACACATTAATTAATTGTGAAACTGAAAAAAACACTTCCCTCCCCTCCCCTCCTCCATCTCCCCCCTCAAACAACCATCAGCAACAACAAGCATCCACAGAATCTCTAGGGGAGGGTAGCTAAGACTTTTGTTCTTTACTTTTTCTGATTTTCTGAGAAAATTCTTTTGCATTCCTTACCAAGTTCTCATTTTCATTTGGCTTTCTGCTTCAGAACCCACTTAGGTTTTCTTGGGGCTGGGAGGGTGTGAGCTACAGAGCCACAATCCAGCTTTTATTTTTCTTTTTAAAACCTGTACATGTATGGCTAAGGGACTTCAAAACTGTTTTAAGACCATGTGTCACAGCTGCTTTTGTTTCTTTGCAGTGCAACTCGGAGAAGTCCTGTGCTGCCCAAATGTTCGCTGTGGAGGTTGTCGTGCGTTGGTCCTGTGCTAGCAGGTACCAGTTCCAGTTGCTGGGAACATTCCTGGTTCTTCTTTTTCTCTGTTTGTCCTAAGCTGCCTACTAATTATGGGTGAATCTAACAGCTCCTGATAAAAGCAGCCAGAATAACCTGGAGAAATGAGTTGTGTGAAAACTCCTTGAAGTTACCTGGGTGCGCCCAGGCTACGGCAGTGCTGGCCGTGGGGTTTGTCGGTCGGTGCGTGCACAGTCGGGCAGTGAAGCAGCTGTTAAGGTGCAAAGAGGTCCGGTGACTGGGAAATAAGAAATGACCAGGAGAGAAAGCTGCCTTGAAGCTTTTCTTGCCCAGCAAGAGCTGCATTTTTTTTTCTATTCCCTTTGAATCAGGTGGCACTTTACGGCTGCCACGTACCCTCGTGAGGCGGCTGTGATGCTGCTTGGCACCTCTCTGGTGTGAGTACCAGCCTCGCCTGAAACTCCCTGTTCCACGAGGGCATTGCAGACACTAAGAAGGCAGCGGTGCTCTGTGCGACTCGTACATCCAGCCCGCAGTTTGCTGTTTGTACCAGGCTGTCTTGGACAAAGACACTAAATTCATATTATCAGGCCTCTGCTAAAAGAATCGCCAGGAGAGACGGCAGCGCCATGTGTCTTGTAGCTAAATGCATATTCCCTTATCAAGTAGCCTCTTAAGAAAACCAGCAGTGATTACACACAAGCTGGGTGCAGCAGGGACTGAGGGGGACAGAGTGGCAGATGTGGGCTGCTCTGAGGCCTGTCAGCGAGGAATGATTAATGAACACCGGCTCCAGCTGAGGCTAACCTTTGGAGAGCCGAGCAGGACATCTGCAGAACTGTCACAGCTCTGACAAGGACAGAGCTGAACAACCAATTATTCCACCATCACTAAGGTGGGCTGTCAGTTTAATCCCAGCCATTCACTTAGGCAAGGACAGGGAAATTTCTCCTTTACATAGCACCTGCTGCGTTGTGACCTTAACCATTGCAGTGCTGCCGAGGGGAGGCGCGGGGCAGCGGCGCCGGAGCTGCTGCCACCGAGCTGAAGTGGGATGCACGGGCACCCTCTGCTCGGAGCCAGCGTGCGGAATGAGTTGGGAGCTCCCTGCTGGTCCGTAAGGACACGTGGGGATTTTAGAAAATGGTGAATGCTAAGTTGAGTATTCCTGCAGACACCCCAGGAATAGTTAACTGGCGTTGACCAAGTTTTGGGGCGATGGGAAGATCTGATGGGTGCTAACGTGCTCCTGGGCTGGGCTGTGCTGCAGGCACGCACCCAGGGCACAGAAGCCATCTGGGTCCTGCTGCAGGTTGTGCACTGCTGCCTGCAGTCTGGGCACCGAGCTTTTGGCCATGTGCTCGATTTGTGGATGCTCGTCCTCTGTGGATTTTCCAAAGCTTTACAGGGATTTCATGTCAAAATAGCTTCTCTTTTCTTTCTTTTGCCATGTGGATAAAGAAGTAAAGCATCCTGTATCACGTTTTCTCATTTGCAGTACAGAGTCACTTACAAGAGGGTAGCACGCTGGAACTGAAAGTAGCAGAGGCGGAGGCACCAGTCTCATTCATAACTGTGCCTGGCTGTGTGACTAGTGTGATACAGTGTGTAAAGCTGAAGCAATTCCTTTCATCAACGATGAACCTAAAACGCTGGCCATGGTAAGAAAGGACTTACTGAGAGAGTGGTGAGTTTTACAAAGTCAAGAAGCGGAGGTTAAATCAAATCTTCTGATTAATACATTTTTTTGTGACACAGCACATTTCGTGGTGTGGACTGCCTTCCACTTGTGATCTGCTGTAATTCCTCTAAGGCCTTCCAGTGCCCTTTGAACTGAAGGCGTACAAAGAGCTCGGATACAGAGATATCTGACAGGGAACAGCTTTGGTTCTGCTCTGCTCTTGCCTTGCCCCTGTTAGACTCCAGGTTGGATTTTGTTTCTTCCTTTCGTTCTAGGAGCCTGATCACACCGTCTGTGCTTTGCTTAAAAGATTCTTCTTAAATCTGTAATGCAGTTCAGAGCAGTCCCAGGACCTTCAGTACCACCAGAAAAACTGAAAATAGGTGGGAAAAACTGCAACCTGGGTACAGCTCTTGAAAAAGCCACGGCAGAGCCTTGTCTTGTTGGTTTTCTAAGCTCTCTTTGTGCTCAGTGACCACAGAAAAGGTAATTCCCACTGCACCTCTATTTCTAGATTCCCACTGTAAACCTGGAGTTTGTTCTTTCTTAATTAGGACATCCAGGCTGTAATTGGCATGATTGGTAAAGCAGATAAAATCTGATAAAACCTGGTATCAGTTAAATGCACTCACATCACAAATTGAGGACAGAAACCTGGAATTTTTTACATTAGAGTTTTTGCAGTAAAGTAGAATAAATCTTACTCCATTCTGGGCTATATTCTGTCTGTGTTTGAGAAGTTTTTATTGGAAAAATAGAGCTGATAATTTCTGTCTGGTTTACACCTGTCTAAATATATTTTCAGGTATGTTCCTGTTAAGCAGAAATCTTGCTAATGAACTCCCAGTTGAGGCTCAGGCATTATGGCAATGTTCTAGGTAGCAAAGAGCTCAGCTGAATGAAGATAAAGTAATTTCTCGTGGAATTACATTTGCAGATTGCCTCCAGTGAATGCCAGCTGTAAAAAATGGTATACCCAGCACAGTATGAGAAATTGGTTTTAAAACTGCAGAAAATCTTGGGATTTCTGAACAGAGCAGTTTTGCTGCACTGAAGTTTGAGAAAATCTTTTCAAAAAGCCTGCTAAAAATTACAGAGAATGTTGCTTTTATCATGTGAATGTCTCTTTACCATTTTTTCTTATTGCTGTCTAAATTTTCATGTGTATATAACGTTTACTGTACTAGGTCCCAGTTCCTCTTTGGGAAACACACAGTTTGTATTGCACAAAAATGCTCTTTAAAACATGGAGATAATGTTTATCCGCTCAGGCTGCTGGAGAATGTGTTCTGCAATTTCAAATAGTGTCAGTGCTCTTGCAGAAGGTGGAATTCGGTCTGGTGTGTCAGAGAGGCTGCAAGGGGAACAGGCTTGAATATTGATTATTTGATGCTGAATTGCAACCCAGAAATGTTGAAACAGCAGGTATGCAAAACAGTGTTTTCAAAGCTAAGGTTAAGGCCAAAGTGATTGCTCTTCCTGCTCAGGAATGGATTAAATCTGAAATTCCAACATTAACTTCCTCTGCCCTGTGAGACTCATCTTGGAGAATTAATCGGTTGGTGATCTTTTGTTTGTTGTGCGGTGTTTTGTTTGTTTTCCCCAGTTATCCTCCTGCACTTCCCATCTGCGTTTGCAGAGCACACAGTATTTGCCATGTTCTGGACCATTTTATTTTCTAAGATAAGTTGTAAATCCATAAGAATCGTGGAATGTTCCTCATTTTAGCTTTAGTTATCTAAGGATATGAGATAGGCACATGCTACTTTGGTTTAGACTTCTTTTTTCTTATTTGAATTTTTGAATTAAAGAACATCACGTATAACTCAAAGTACAGAAAAATGTTTTTTGTGTTTAGAAATATCTTGTTCGCATTAGAAACTGAATCTGAGAACACTGCCTGTAGTGCCATATAGTGTGCAAAATGTGTGATCTTTCAGGAAAAATCTGTTTGCAGTGTTTTGGCCATACAAGCTGGAGAGTACACAATGGGCTGTCGTCTAGTTTATGGCTCGAATTTAGAGACAAGTACCACTGAAAAATAATTAATTTAAAAATGGTAATAAATAGGCTAATGAAAACCCGTGTAAAGCAGCACCTCATTATTTTTCCTGTGGATGAGCTTAGTCACCTTCCTGGGAAAAGATGCCACTTCTGTTTGATCAGCTGCTGCAGGAGGATTCAGTGCAGCAGCAGGTCTGTGCTTCGCTAAACGGGGCTGGTGCACATTCACAGAGGAGAAGTGAGTATTTAGGATTCAGCACATCCCGTCATCTGACATGTTATTAATATCTTCAAGTAAAAGTCATGCCAGCACAGCAGGCTGTAGTTTCTTCCTCCCGCTGGGAAATAGCAGCCTCCTTGTTTCCCTTGAAAGCCAGCTTACAGTTGGGCTGCATTGTTAGGGGCTGACCAGTTACAGCCAAAGGGATCAAAACAGGAAGCTTGGCTATTAGCCTTCAAATGAAACCTACTGCTTCATTTGCTTCATGTACTTCATTTCCTCTGCCCCTTCTCTTCTGTTCCAGGTGTCCTAGACGAGCAGTGCCTGCCCGGGCAGCGTGGTGTGCTCGCCCTAATGCCTTGATAGGAAGGAAACATCTGCCCAGTCGTGCCATTCCCCACATTTTGGTTACATCAGCAAAGCTTAAAGCTAAAGATTTGGAGAGTAAATTTGAAAGTGGTGCTTTCAGCCTACAGCGAGGAGCAGTTCTGCAAGGTGTGCAGGACGTACAGGCTGCCCTGTGCCCAGGTAGAGCTCGCCTTGCGTCCACTCATCTCTCTGTGAGCAAGTACAATAACTAGGGAGGGTTTTGTGCGTCAGTGCAATTTTCCTTAATTTACCAAATATTGTATTGTATGGACTGCTCTGCTTTGGCTGCTTGTTCTCTTGTCCCCTTGTCTGACAAGTTACTGCAGCCTGAGCTTGGCCAGGTCTGGTGAGCAGTTCGTAAGGGGATGTGTACGCGGGCAGATGGCTGCGGCCAGTTTCATACTGGTGGGCGAGCAGCAGGCCAGGGTACTGAGCGAGAGCTGGTGTGAGATGCACGTGGAGTGGTTGGGGAATGGGACAGGATGTGAGTGCTTGGGCATATTGCTGAATCTGCCCCTTCTATCCACTGCAGAGGGAGTGCTTCTGTTGGGAGGAGCAGCAAATGGGAAGATAGCTATTTTTTTTCATGAAGCGGCAGGTGCCCAAGTGGAGTTCAGAACATTGCTATTTTAAAAAAATATTTAAATAAAATCTTCAAAAATCGTTCAAATTTCCCTTTCCTTCGGCCTGCTCTATCTAAATTGCTAAGAGAGTCTTACTTTGAGGCTTGGGAATAGAAACAAGATAGAAAGCGCTTTCTTGCTCCCTTCTAGTGAAAATTACTGAAATGTCTTTGATGTTTCTTAGCATAAATGTTCATAAAACTTCAGAGAATAGATCCTTAAAGTCTATTGTTCTGTAACATATTTATTCGTAGCACAAAAGCTGCATTAAAATAACACCAAGGGTTTATGAAAAGTGTTCAGAGAGAAGGATTAACCTGCTAATCCTCGTCTCTTCGGAAAAATGTTCCGAGTTGGCAGGACTCATTTAAAGGAAGTTCTGACTTGTGCTCACTTGTCCACACCTTTTTTTTTCTTCCATTTTTTTTTCCCCAAAAATTCACCGAGCTGGTACGAGCAGGGGTAGGCATTCCAGAGGTGTCGTGGTGCTTCAGAATTGCTGCATCTGTATTCTCGTGGGGATGCTGGACATGAGATGTGCGTCCTTTGCACACACCATGAACTCATCTGCTACAGCGTGAGTGGGAATTCAGGTATTTTTTCAAGCATGTTGCTTTCCTCCTTCTAGCCCTGTCTTGCTTCTCTGCGTTATTTTTTTTTAAATTTCCATGATCTTTGTGTATTGCCTGGCTCTGAGGCTCAATATCACCCTGTGTTAGCAGAAGTGACTGTGATCTGTTTCTCCTCTTCTGAGAGTCAAGTTTTCCCAAATCAAATGAATTCTGCCATTCAGGGAGGTCTGAAGAAGACTACCTGTGAGCTTGCACCTCTAGCTGAGTCAAAAGAGCCTATCTTTTTTTCCTCCCAACTCTCATTATGTGTATGCAACTTCACAGAGCTCCCTGCGCTTCCGTACTACATCTACAAAATCTGTGTAAGAGGTTGTTGTCGTTTAAAGAGGGGCTGCAGCTGGGTCTTGAGATTAAGCATTAAGGAAAGGTCTTTGGTATGCACAAACCAATTTCAGATGATAGTGTCAGTCCCCCTTGGTCATGAGCAGTTATAATATTTTTAAAAAAGGTAGAAAATGTTCTTATTTCCAAATTAATTAATATTTTTAAATTGCTTTTAGGTTCACAGATTATTATTGTGGTTTATTTCTAGAGGATGTTTATTTTCTTTCTTACTACATTTTCCTGAAATTTAGTTCTGGACTACATTTTCCCCAAGATCTTAGTTTTTTAAAAATAATCTTAAAAATAGCTTTTTCTTAATCTACCAGATGGGGCAATTTCAGATTTCACCAATTTCAGAGTTGCTTTCAGATGGAAAAAAAACTGAAAATTGCCTGTTTGTTTTCAAGGCTTTGCTTTTCTCTTTAGTTCAGAATGACTTGAAATAATTGCAGGCTGCATACTCAATGTGAGACAACGGAATCATTTCCTAGAAAAAAATGCCATTTCTAAATATTTGTTTCAAACCTATAAAGATGCAAAGAACACTGCTGCCACCGAGAGCAGCAGACAAGTTTCTTATTAATTACTGCTGGGGAAAGTTGACTTAAACCTTCCTAAATGAATTAAGAAAGGCAAATCTATTGACTGCTCCACAGGTTGCTTGCAGGCCTTTTCTTTTTGACAGAAGAAGATTAATACAGAGGCTGCTTCTTCCAATCCTGTTGATAAATACTCACCAAGGCATCCTACAGAGAGATCAGATCTTGATTGTGGAGACGTCGGGCAGCTGTGGGCTGTGAGGGTGAACCATGGGGCTTCAGGCCAGTAGAAGGTAATCAGCTGGAGGAAATTTCTGAAGAACACAAGACAACATGAAGACACTTTATGAAGTTTTTCTTAACGTCTGAATCTTCAATATAATCGACGTTTGCCATAAATTTGAGAAGTGCCTGGTAGAGGAGGCAAATCCATGTATTTAAGTAAAGGGGATATAAAACCGTACACTAATGAAGTAAGGTGCTTCAAGTAGATTTGCACTGCTATGGACATCAGAAAATGATCTTTAGCTTCTGAAGAGCTACAATGGGGCTGCTTATTTTTTCATGGCCATGTTTATCAGTCTCCTGCTATAAAAAGTGGCTCAGGTTCTTTATTGAAAAACATTTAGCTAATCCTTAAAGGTAAGTTTGTACTTCCAAATCAATGTGCATGCAAAAGAATCTCATTTCTAACACCAGTATGACTGAGGATTTCAACCTGTGCATTTTCTTCACAGTCACTCTCCTCTGCAGCCTCTTGTCCCAGCTGTTGCTTGAATACCTTTCTGGCATTCTGCTTAGGATTTTTTTTTTCCTTGCAGCTGTTTATGAAGTATTCATTAAATTGTCAACCAAAGCCCCTTTGGCTCCCAGTGTGTTTGCAAGTGAATTCTAGTAGACAGCAGTTCCAGGAAGGATGAAGGTACCCGCTCCAGGAAAGATCATTCCTGCATTTCTTTTTGCGTAGAACGATGTTTCCTTCTGCTTGCTTGCAGAATTTCCATGCAAATGGTCCACTGAACAAGGCTTCTTTCTTCAAAATGCCTTCTTACCGTTTTCTGTGGATTTGTTTAAACTGCTATTTCAATTAGATTTGAGGAATTTGAATGAGATTCCTGAAGTGGAATGCAGAAGGATGGGGAACGCACTGCAGATGGGAAGGAGACAGCTGTTGTCTCTTGCCACTTCATGTAATCAGTTTAAGACAGACCTTTTCATACTGGAGATTGCTTCTCTTGTCCCTGCTTTTGCAATAGCAGTGAGGTGGGCCAGTTCTAGATAAAAAGAACAAATTCCTCTTTCAGCCACCTGCAGTCTTTCAAAACTGGCAATATCCAATGCATATGAAAGACATCCTTAAATTTATGTGAATTTTTGATCTCTTGTTAACACCGATTTCAGGAAGTGTTAAAACAAAACCAAACATGTTCATTCATCACTGTTGGATTAAAAAGTTGGTCAGTCCTCCACCAGTCTGCAGTGTAGCAGCAAGGAAGGAAACAGCAGCCAGGTACTGTACACTAGTTGGCTGTGACTTCTAAACAAAAGAAGAAGTGAGTGGTGGAGTGACCGCTACATACCAGATAAGAGAAAATAAAATTAATTTCCTTTGACCAGAAAAAAGATGTGCAACTGCTGGTTAGTGTTAGGGAATAGTTATTCCGTTGCAAGTTCTGCTTTCCAGTCAGTCTATTTAACATACTAATGTGGAAATTCTATCCTAGTAGGGTAAATCACATTATATGAAGTTCTAAGATGTTGGCATTGCACGTGTGCATATAAATGTTTAAGCAAATCTATCACTAAGATCCGTTTTATTCTCTTTTAATGTGTTCCATATTTGTTTGCATTCTTTTTCAGTAGTGACTGGTTTATTAAGGTTACAGAAATCAAATATATGCGAGATTCTCGTGTAGTGACAGTTTATGAAGCTGTCTTCTATGTTTTACTCTGAAAAATATTATAAATTGAGAAGCTCTAGCTTTGATTTTGTCTCAGGAGACTGGCACACGTGTTGAGTAGACTTCCTCTGTGGAAGAGCTAGGTGAGGAGGTTAAGTACATTTTCTTTGTGCAGTACCCATTAAACTTCAATCAGAGTTACAGAAAGAAATTTCCTTTAGGCTCATATGGAAACAGGTATTGGTTTGACTTTAATAAAAGTCATAACTGATCTCTGTGAGGTCTCCTGTGAAATGATCTCAGCAAAATTCAGGCAAGCCTTTTGAGGGCAAAAGACTCCCTGTTAAACATCGCATTATCCCGTAATTCCATTACAGAGCAGGCATTCTGTTCCTTGAAAGGTCTGAAAATGGTGACACTGGTTACTGATGGAAGCGGAGCTATTGGATCTGAAAGCCACAGGCCTATTTACAGGAACGTCCTTGTTTACAAATAAAAGCTAGAAATTGAGGAAGTGATTTAAACAACACCTAGGTTGTCGTGCTGTGGCTGCTATTTCCATACTTAGCTGAGTTCAGTGCCGGGGCTGCTCGGACTCGAGGCAGAAGCCCTACGTGTATTTTAATGAGCACCGACAAGGAAGAAATTCTTTCATTTCTGAAGTGGACTTCAGATGGAATTCAGGGAAAGAGTAACAGGTGGTGGGGGAACAACACCAAAAGAAAAAAAAAAACACACAGATGTAGAGTGCTGAAAGACATGAAAGTCATTGTTGTCTTGTATTCACTCGGAAAGGTTAATAAATAGGTCTGCAGGTCACACGGGCTCTCGCCTTGCCCTACTTTTGTTATTCTAAGGATTCTGATCACCACCAATTTGTGACTGCAGGCAGAGCTGTGGAAGTACAAAGCGTGGAGGGAAGCGCATAGTTTGTGCAGAAAATGGCAGAATTTTAAAAAGTAAGTGCTTGGTGCTTCTCTGGACGTAGGGAAGGGGGAAATTAGGGAACCTCTCCCCAGCTGTTTTATCCCGTTATATCAGAGAGATGGTGAGGACGTTGCTCAATAGCCTTTTCTACTGTCCTGTCCAACATTGCTTAGGAACGATTTTAAAAAACTGAATTAATCTAGATTTTAAAAGTTAAGTCTGAAAATGATTCCCATTTTCATTGACTTCTCTGTTGTTCCTGTGAGAGGACATGAAAATTGTACGGAGCTGTGTGTTCTGTCGTCCATCCATCTCTGGAAAGTCTGTTCTCTCCCGAAGAAACCCGAAAACGTGGCCTGCTCAACTCCATGGTTGTTTAACTTGGTAGCCTGCTGCACACCCCGGGTGTGTTGGTGGATCAGCATCTCCTGCGCATACAGGAGGGCCAGCAGCTCTCAGCTGAGGTGTTTGGGTGTTCTGGAAGAAGAGAACATGAAGGAAATCCCAAAGAGATGTTGTTTTACATGAAGGAAATTCCAAAGCAACATTGTTTTGGCAAGGTGAGGTCGCCTGGGTGCCGGGAGGAGCCAGAACCTCAGAAACAAACCCGGTTTGGTCCTTTCCTCCTGCCCCCTGTTGGGTTACTTGGGGATGCTGCGTGGCTGCCACATGGACTTCGGGCATTTGCTGTTCCTTGACTCGTGTTGTGCCTTAACAATAGAGATGAAGTATCCACTAAATGAAACAAAATAATTAATTACTGAACACAGTGACACCATTTAGCCCTAAATTTTCTCAACTAGAAGGATTAACTAAGTATGTAATGCATCGCTGAATGATTTAACAGAGCATCATAACTCTTTTCTTTTCACCATAAATTGTAACCTGGAATTGTTTTTGTAATGCTAATTGCCTTATCTTCATAAATTCTACAGTCTTACATAATTTAACTAGTATTGTAGGAGGATTTCCCAAGAATAAAAAAAAAAATAAAAAAGCAGGTGCCGTCAATGGTAATTTAAATAAGAAAAGACACGTTAAGTGGTTCTTCTTTCACTAGTAATAGAAATTAATTAGCTTTGAGCTGCTTTGGAGGTTTTACATTTTTTGCTGTAGCCTGTTATGTTTTATAATTGTATGGAAAGTAGTTTTGATTTGATCACATTATCTGGTGTGAGGGTTCTGCTGGAAGGCAGAGGTACATAAATCAAATGTCAGCCTGCCTGCTGCGGAGGCTGCAGAGGATCAAGAGTGTAAATTCAGATCTTCCGAGTAAGTCTTTGAAGTGCTGGAGACGGTCGTGCCACCAGCCTGAAGTGTGCTGCCGAGCAGTTCTTACAGAGCTGGGAGCTGGCGAATGCTTTAAGCTGAAGCTGCTCTGGGCTGGCTCTACCCCGATGGAAATTGGTGCAGAATAGGATGGAGTTACTGGATTAAATCGGTGCCAAATCAGAGAGCAGCCCCATGTATGAAATGAAGCCACTGTGTCTACACGTGTGCCAGGCGTGCCGCTTGACTGTGGAGGTTTTGTCCAAGTTTGTGCTCTTGGTGTGGTAGAAGCGATGGAGCCCAGTAAGCGCAGGTTTGTACCCAGTAAGCGCTGAGGTTCCCACTGCTGCTCTCCTCCAGTTGTGTATCGGGCTGTCTGGCACTGGTTGAGGTTCATCTTGGGGTTTCCTGCAATTAAATTCAGTTTGGGCACCCGGAACCGAGCGCCCGGGCTGGGCAGTGCACTGGGCGCAGTGACCCCATGGGCGGTGAGAGCAGTGCTGGTGGCAGCGAGGCACGGAGCGTTGCTCATAGTATGCTGCCTGTTGGCTCGTGTTTTAGAGGGAGTGTGGTTCTGTGAGTGCTTCCACTGATGCTTCTTATTCCAGAAAAATGCCTCGTTTCCCAGAGGGTCGCATTGCTGCCGCTATGGGTGCTTGACACTGCAGCCAGCCTCATGGGATGTGGCCATTAGGAAATGCAAACCGGTCCTGTTCCTATCCGCAGGGCCAGCCTGACTTCTGGGGTGTGAATTACAAGTCCTAATTAGCCCTTTTATGCGAATTATTCTTGGAGCTTGGACTGACTTTCTAATAGTCATTTAGTTTCTCTTACTGCTCGGTAATTTTTATACAGAGATAATTGCCAGATCCTGCTCGTGTTATTGATGGTTGAGGACGGATGCATTTCTTTACATCTGAATGTATAAATTAGAGGGAAAGAAGCGCCTTTTTTAGTTAAAAATGCAGGCTGCAAAAGCTGTTACTTTCCTCAGGATACAAATTTAATCTTTAATGTCAAGAGTGAAAGATCCAAGTGCTCCAAGGTGCGCCAAGACGAAAGCAGAAGGAATTGGGGTCCCACTTGTTGCATTTATGGGCAGCAGGGCTGAATATCCTAACAGGCAGGCGGAGAGCAGGTTTGAGGAGATGGAGGCGGGCACTCAGCTTTCTGTGTTTCTCTCAGTGAGGCTGGCTCACAAGTGTCTTGTGAGGCTTGGTGCCAGGGCAGAGCTGAGGCAACCCCAAGAAGCAGAACCTGCGGCTGGATTCCCTGGTGCCTGCTGCTTAATGCTGGAAATGGCACGTGGCGAAGTCAGTCTCTACTCCACCTAAATTCCTCCCCAAATAAAGGTGTCAGGGAAGTTAAGAAAATGTCCATAGAAAGTGTTTTCAGAAGTTCTTTTATTTTATTCCTCCCGCACTGCGATGAAGCGGGTGCTGGTGCTGGCATTTGTTCAGCTTTAATTCTCGCTGTCAGGGATGGCTTCCCTGCCGCAACATCGGGTCACGCGTGTCAAAAGGAGCTTGTCAACTCCGAGGTAAAGCTGGGGGGACATCTTTCTGCTAGAGATAACCTGTATGAAAAAAAAGCCCACGGAACAGAACTTAAGCAGGATTTAGATGCTCCCCATCTAGGCCTTTTCATGGTGCACAGAAGAACTGATAGCGTGTTATTCTGAATGTGCATCCACCCAAGGTTACTGCTAGAAATGTGGGAGCATCTATGGTTTCTTGTCTGTGATTCAGCTGATTAATTCAGCAGGTTAATTCATTTTTCTTTAGCTTGAGTTGAATGATCCTGAGAGGTCTTTACAAGCAATTTTGCAAGCTATTTGCAGTTGACTTGGATTTTTTTCCCCTTCGCTGTAAAAGTGTTCTGAATATTTTTGTCCTGGTGCTGGTGAGTCAAGAGCTGAGAAATTCAGTGCTATTTTATTTTATTTTATTTTATTTTATTTTATTTTATTTTATTTTATTTTATTTTATTTTATTTTATTTTATTTTATTATTAAGTATTTAAAGAACTATTCTAAGAGAAGAAGGCGAAAAGAAAACCTTGCTGTTATCTACAGCTGGCTGGTCAGAGGATACAGAGAAAGCAGAGCCAGACTCTTCTCAGAGGTGCACAGCAATAGGACAAGAGGCAACAAATGCAAGTTGGAACAGGGGACGTTTCACTTAAATGTAGTAAATTTTATTTATTTTTTTACTTTCTGAGTAAATCTCTGTCCTTGGAGAGGTGTTCAGGAGACTCGACCAGCTGGATCCCTGAGCAGCCTGATGCGATTTGACCTGCTTGGAGCAGGTAGGACTAGGTGACCTCCAGAGGTCTTTTCCCTTCCAACCTAACTTAATTTACACTTGTGTGATTCCATGAAAGCACAGAGCTGTGCTCTGGTATGTTAAACACATGGATCCAAGTGGCTCCTGACTTGAAGTGTTAAGTTCCTTATTGTTTGTTGTCCAACAGAAGATTCTGAGAGAGCTGTGAACTACAAGAATCAACACGATGGAGTGTAAGGTTCGTGAGGGGGATTGTAAGTCAGAGAGATGAGTGGAAGCCCCTGCAGGCCTGAAGAGGTATCCAGGAGGTAGGTGCACACAGCCTGGAGAAGCAGCTCCCCTCCTTCCCTCCACAGACCACCACGGGGGATCAGAAGCTGATGTTGGACCTGGCGTGGTGCTGGACACAGCTTCAGGAGATACCATTCCTGATCCACTTTGAATTCAGCGTTGTCTGTGCATCCTCCGTACACTGGTCATGTTCTTGCAGCTCAGAGCTCGAGCACTGGTGATAGAAAAGCTTTTTTTTGTTTCTGCTGAAAGTGCAGGCAGCTTCCCAAAGTGAACCACATAATGCCTGCTGAATTAAAAGAAGGAAAGCACTTAGAATAATTCAGTGAACAATAAGTGGGCAGCAATCTAGGAAGAAAAATAATTAATTTTATATGTTCAACATGTTTGTGATGATATTTAATTACTCTTAGGAGAGCTTGGAAAATCTGAAGGCAAGTACACTGCAATACAGCTGAAGTGAACACTTTTGTTAGTGGTGAAAAGGGGTTGACGTGCTTTTCTCTCCACTGTGCTGGCACAAGGAAGGTGACAGAAACAAGGGGGACGCCTTTCTCCGTGGCAGCAAAGGCTTAATTTCCTCACAGCCTGAGTTGTAGGCTTCTTAATTTTGTTGTCAGAAGAAATTTGGTTTCAGTTGACTTAGGAGAAGTTCTGAACCGAGTGAGGCGAGGGAAGTGTGGCAGCCTGGGTGAATCAAAAATCAAATCTGGCACTAAATACCAAGGTCCTTTGGTCTTTTTTTGGTAACTTATTTACATATTAGCATTTGCTCCTGCACCTAGATTAAATGCAGTTGGGAACCAAAATGGCTTTTGGGCTCTGGTTCGCCCGGCATAGAACCTAAATACAATCACTGGGACACGGAGCTTGCTCTTTTTTTTAGGTTAAGCTTAAGAAGAGACAAAGGAAAATATTTGTTGGTTGACCTCTGGCCCCAGTACAAAATATAGAGAGAATAGTGATGAATCTCCAAAGCCTGCTGGCACAGCGAAGTGCTTGGTATTCCATGAAAAAACCATCATGTATTCCCTAAATAGTTCATTTTGTTTTCTAAAGTTCTGAAAAACTCGCTTTATTGAAATGCATGTTGTTGCATCGATTTTTCTAAAATACACCTTGTTATCTTTTCTTTGGTAATTGGTGACTGGTAATGACTTTGGCAATTTAACATGTTCTTGCAGACACTTTTCCCATTCCCCCAGATAACTGAAGTCAAGAGAGAGGGCCTGTCTGTCAATCTCTGATGCCTGTCAACCCTGCATGATTGACGGGTTTTGGTCCCACAATAGAGACCATTTCTGCAGCCCCCGTTCTGTTATTTTCTTCTTTCTTAATACTTGTGGGGGATGGTGTTTGCTTTATAATCTGTGTTTAAAATCCAACTTGGAATGAGGCCAGTTTCTGAGAAATTATCACAAAGTCTTGTTAGCTTTGCATCAGGAAAATTCTCCGGAGACTTCCTTAAGCTGTGATTCCACCTTCAGAAATTACCTTTGCTCAAAAC